AACTGCCTCGAGGAAGCTTGACCATTTTAACACAACGTGGTACGATCATCCCCCGTTGCGCGGAGTGAGGTTTCTCCACCCCGCACAACATGATCTACTCGACCACCATTATGGTTACCGCCAAAAAAAAAAAACGAGGTAAAAAAAAAAACGGTAACCTGGTTGCCGAGTTCACGAAGTGAATTGGCTTGTTTTACAACGTCGTTGCCAAGCGACGAAAACCCAATCCCGATGGCAAACACCGAGTGGGGGGCTTGTTTTACAACGTCGTTGCCAAGCGACGAAAACCCAAACCCCGATGGCAAACACCGGGGGGGGCGGCTTGTTTTATAACGTCGTTGCCAAGCGACGAAAACCCAACCCCGATGGCAAACACCGGGGGGGGGGGACCTCGCCTTCCTACAAATTCCGTTTGTGCGGGGGTACTCATGTAAACGGGTGCCGTAGTCGTTAGACCGTTAACCTCGCATCCCTGCAAAGCCGGGACGAAGCCATATGCCGGGTTTTCGCGGGCCCAGGGGTGGGGTACTCATGTTAACGGGTGCCGTAGTCGTTAGACCATTGATCTCGCATCCCTACAAAGGCCTGTTTGCGGGGGGTACTCATGTACACGCATGCCGTAGTCGTTAGACCGCTGATCTCGCATCCCTACAAAGGGCTGTTTGTGGGGGGTACTAATGAAACGGATGCCGTAGTCGTTAGACCGTTAACCTCGCATCCCTGCAAAGCCGGGACGAAGCCATATGCCGGGTTTTCGCGGGCCCAGGGGTGGGGTACTCATGTTAACGGGTGCCGTAGTCGTTAGACCATTGATCTCGCATCCCTACAAAGGCCTGTTTGTGGGGGATACTGACGTAAACGGATGCCATAGTTGTTAGACCGTTAACCTCGCATCCCTGCAAAGCCGGGACGGGGCGATATGCCAGGTTTTTACCGAACCAGTCTGGCACATCGCCAAGCGCGAAGCGCCGTGAGGTATTTGGCGAGTCGCATAGAGGCATCGCATGCGGGCTTATCAGAAACTGTGATGGCGACAGGCGTAGAGTTTTGCCGAAGATATGGTTTGTTTGTTTTGTGTTTTCTGGTGTTGTCTTTTTCCCTTCGGTGATTTCCCCATTTTGGGGGGGTGCCGTGGTGGACACTTGGACACGCGTGTTTTGTGTTGATTGTGAGTGTGCGGGTGTTTTTGTTTTCCGTATATTCGCAGGACCTGTGTTCGATCAACAAGGTTTCGTTTTGAAATGCGTGTGTGTGTTTTTTATGGTGTGTTCCTAGTATGACCCAACGAATCCATCTCAATCTAAAATCGAGTCTCATGTAGATTAGCAATGAATCCATATCGTCAGCGACGGCTACCCGTATTTCCACGATGTCCCGAGCAGCACACAGCGATTTTTGTGTTTGTTTTTTTATTTTCGCAGGACCTGTGTTCGATCAAGAGTTGTATTGAATTTTGATTTTGTGTTCCCGGTCCTTTCTGTTTTTTCTGTTGTTGTATTTTCGCAGGACCTGTTTTCGATCAAGAAGTCCAAGGCGGACAGCATCACCCAGAAGATCATGATGGACCTCATGATGAAGATGATGTCGGAGGTAAACGCTTGGATTTTTTAAAGAAAAAAATTGGTTTCGTGTGGCTTTTTTAAAGTACAGGGATGGTCCTACCCGATATACCATACCCCCGCGTAGTAACAAGCAAAAAGAACCGCGGTATACCGTGACACCGCACTATTAAGAGTTGGGGAATATATAGCTTTTAGTATGGTGTTCAAAGCCAGTGAAAAGCGGTTTTTACTGCGGTGTATCGGGACCTCCACTGCTCGGGACCGCGGTACGGTACGGTATGTCGGGACCACAACTGTTTCTGATAAAAAGCTGACGTCATCGTGCACGCCGTTGTTGTTGCGCGACCTGCTAGTAAAGCTGCATTCGAGGACAAGCTTGATAATCGTGCTGTACAGTAGTGCTTCAAGTGTCCACGCGCTAAAACTACCCGCCCCGCCCCACCAGTTGTGTTTCCCCCCGCTCCTCTGTCGTTATCATCAATTAGTTTTCATCGGTGGTGTCACATTTGTTTTCTTTGGCCTGCGCTCGAAATCGTGCGACCTTGACTCCCCCCAAGTACATGAAGTACGAAGAATTTAACAAGGAGGAATGAAGAAGACGAAGAATTTAACAAGAAGAAATAAACAGGGTCGAAAAACTATCGAAGAAATAGAGTGTCAGCTCAAGCAGTTGTTCCTCGGCCTGGACTGTCGTGATGAGTTCATTCAACACATACCTTCCGACGGGGTATTATTGGTATCTCTCGGACGGATAGACGTATCTTTATGTGTGTGTATGTGGTACTTTATATCTCGTTTTTTTCCCCCCTCAGTACTTTTCTTTCTCTTTGGTCTGCAGGGAGAGGTGGTGAAGGCGGTAGCGTTTGGTGTATACATATGTGCAAGAAGATGTGGAAAGTGCTACTCTCTAGAGAGAAATCCCTCCCCCCTTTTTTTTTCCCCCTCGTCCTATTCTTGCTCTCTTTGGTCTCTGCAGGGACGGGGTGCAGGCTCCGTTTGGTGTATATGAACATACGGAGACTGTCGTTCTCTGGGGAGAAAGTACCCGTTTTTTTTTTCCCCTCGTTCAATTTTTTTTTTCTCTTTCTCTTTGGTCGCTTTGGTCTTTTTTGCAGGGAGGCGGTGAAGACGGCGACGCGGAGGGTCTCGAGAAGATGATGGAGGCAATGGGCGGGATGGAAGGGATGGGAGGGATGCCCGGGATGGGGGGCATGGGGGCGGGCCGAAGCCCGGAAGACCACAAGAAAGAGGTGGAGGCCCTCAAGCAGGTGAGCTTGCATGCACACCCCGGAGGGGGGAGAAATTCCAAGAGTTGCGAGGAATCGCTGAAAAATCCGACCCATTCCGGGAGCGTTGGCAGCCTTTGGGCCTTCGCAGTCGACGACGGTATTGCACACGTTGTACACAAACAATACCACTGTAGTTACGGACCAGAGCCTAGTGTAGGCGCATGCGCACGCACGATAGCAAGTGTACGTCCAAGCGTGCCCCTCCCTCCACCCCATGCTCTCTGTAAGGGGGTGACGGCCATTCGTAGAAATGGGTCCCCCCCCCCCTGCTCCGTCTCGAAAGGGACGCGTGGTCAATGGTCAAATGACTACGGCAAGCAACAAATGAGTACGCCCCCCCCCCCTGGATAGAGTGCGCAAAATGTCCAATAGGGAAAAGCACGAGCTGAGAGTGGGGCCGTGGAACGTGTGCGGGTTCGCAAGGAGTGAGCACAAGCGGTTGGAAATAGTGGACCAAGTAGAACAGAGCGATCTAGATGTAGTGGGGATTCACGAGACGTGGGAACTGAAGGATGGGGACGTGGTAAGCAACTAGGGAAATACCGGTGGGTAGGGAAGGCAAGAAAGGGCTTACACCCCAAGAAAAGGGGGGAGGGGGGAGACGGATTCCTGGTCAAGGAACACTTGTTTGACGTGGTGCAAGTAGAGGTGAAAACGGAGTTCGAGGAAAGCCTATGGCTTAAGATACCGGGGGAGCGGGGTGAGAAAGACTTGTTTCTAGGGAACGTATACGTCCCACCGTCATCGAAGAAAGTCGCAAGCAAGGCGCAGGAGAACTTCGGACAAATTGGAGAAGATGTCCAGAGGTTCAGTAGGAAGGGAGAAGTTGTCATGGTGGGCGATTTCAACTCCAGAGTAGGGAAAGCTTCCAGTAGAGGGCAGGCGATCGGGCAGCACGGAGAAGACAAAGTGAATGACAACGGAGTGAGGATGCTTGAATTCTTGGGAAGCAACGAGCTGATGGTTTTGAACGGTAGGAGGGAATGCGATAAGCCGGAGTTCACCAGGCAAAGGGCCAGTTTGCAATGAATACTCGATCCTCGACTACATCCTGGTAGATAGGGGGAGCACACATATCTCAGAGCTGCACGTAAGTGCGATAGATATAGGTTCGACCGACCACTTCCTCGTATGGGCAAACATCGACCGATCTAGAAAGACGGAGATTAAGAAACAGAGGAAAGTGTTCCGGTGGAAAGTAGAGCGTTTGGGAGACGAGGGGACAGAGGATGAATTCCAGAAGGGACTGGCTGGTAGTGCAGAACCCTTCAGGAAACTGCTGAGAAGCGTCGAAGACGGACAGGTAGACGTACAAGCAGCAGGGGACAGGGTGATTGAAGGGTGGGAGTCCATAGTGTGCGGCTTAGAGGGTAGTGGGAAAGAAGGTGGTACGATGTGGGGTATCGGTTAAGTGGTGGGATGACGAGCGAAAAGAAGAAATAGGGAAACGTAGAGAAGTCTTCAAGCAGTACCTGAGTGAGGGGTCTGAGGAGAGTCGGGAAAAGTACAGGACCAAGAGGAAACAGGTGAAGAGACTAGTGAAAAAGAAGAAAAAGTGCATTTGGGACGAAGTAGTGCAGAAGGTCAACGGAGGCCTGGAGGGGAACGCCAAGCGGATATGGGAAGGGATTAGTGGGATGGTAAAATAGACCGCGCAAGAGGGGGGGATACAGGGGTAGCAAATTTGCGAGGTGTGAGCGGTGGACTAGTCAGCAGTGGGAAGGGAAAAAGGGAAGTTCTAGCAGGACACTACAAGAGACTTGGAGTGCCTTCGGAGAATGAAGATTTTGACCAAGTGTTTAAGAAGGAGGTGGACGCATGGGCCCAGAAAGAAGAAGAGATTTCGAAGGCAGACGTTGGGAACGTAGAACTAGAAAAGGAGTCCACTGAGGACGAGGTTGAGGCGTGTGTGAACAAGCTGCAGTGCCACAAAGCAGAAAGGGGCGGATGGGATAGTCAACGAGTTCATGAAGTTTGGGGGGAAGGGGATGATCCGGTTGATGGTACTGTTGTACAACTGGGTGTGGAAAAACGAGTATGCGCCAAGTAGATGGAGGGAAGGAGTGGTTGTGAACTTGTTTAAGAAAGGAGACAAGACTGACCCAGGAAATACCAGGGGTATCACACTGTTGAACACAGTAGGGAAGGTGTTTTGTACGCTGCTGAACGATAGGATAGTGGGAGTATTGGAGAAGGAACGTAGCATTAGTGAGGGCCAGGCAGGTTTCCGACAGACGAGGGGGTGCGTAGACCACGCATTCACGGTAGGGAGAATCATCCAAGGTAGAAAGAGGGCGGGAAAGCCGACGTACTGCTTCTTCCTGGACGTGAAAAAAGCATACGATACCGTATGGAGAAATGGGCTGTGGAAACAATTGTCCAAGTACGTGATCAAGGGGAAAATGTGGAGAGTGCTCAAGAAGATGACATAGTGTACGAAAAGCGCGGTCATGCTAGACGGAGAACTGTCTAAATTCTTCGACATTGAGCAGGGGGTCCCACAAGGTTGCAAGCTGTCCCCAACATTGTTCCAGGCGTTCATCAATGATCTGTTGGAAGTCGTAGAGGCAGTCCGGAAGGGCGTAAAAGTAGGGGACACGGAAATTTCGGTGTCAGGAATGCTGTTTGCGGATGATTTTGTTGGTATGTCGGACACCCCTGAGGGACTGCAACTACAAATTGACGCGGCGAAGAAGTTTACTGATAAATGGAGATTGTTTGCCAACGTTACGAAGAGTGCCGTCATGGTAAGCAACGAGTTCAGGGAGGAACCAGTAGAACATAGATGGAAGTGGGGGATCGAGGAGATTGCAGCAGTGGACCAGTACACATACCTCGGAGTAGAGATCGCAAAAGACTGCCCGTGGAATGCACACATGTCCAAGGTAGCGGAAAAGGGCAAATCACGAGCAGGGAAGCTGCACCCAATACTCGCAAACCGGCACCTCGATACACGCATCAACTTGGCGGTTTTGAAAAGCGTAATCGTACCGCCGCTAGAGTACGCCGGAGAAGTATGGGAAGGAAATAAGAAGGTAGTGAAATAAATCGAGGCGGCGCAGATGAAAGCAGCGAAAATCATCCTAGGATGCTCCAAGCGCACAAGTAATGCAGCCGTCAGGGCAGAATTGGGGATCCAATCCCTGCGGTCGGGAAGAGACGCAAGGAAGCTGACATGGCAGTATCGCATGTGCGGGATGGGAGAGGAGAGGTTGCCGAGAATAGTATTGGAGGCGAAGTGGGCAAACAAAAAGAGGGGTAGACAACCCACGGAATGGGTCAAGGTTGTAGAGGACGTATGGAAGGGGTTAGACATCGACGAAGATGAAACGCTGGAAACGGAGGGTCCACAGGGGTTCAAGGAGAAGATATCTGTTACTTGTGCCGAGAGGGAACAGAATCTACGGGAAAAAACCAAGGATAAGGAGGGTCTAGAAGTGTACGGAATGTTGAAAGAAGAAATAGGGTTCAAGGATTACCTACATGGACCAATGGATGCAGGGACCAAAGCTTAAGGTCAAATTCAGGACCGGGGACATAGGCCTTCGAGAACGTCGACGAAGACATAGGACGGTAGACGACGAAGATGACAAGTTCAAATGGGATTGCGGCTTCGAATGCGAAGACCGTGTTCATGTAGTCGCGGGATGTCCTTGGTACGAAGAGGAGAGGGAAGTGTACATGACTGAGCTGGAAAAATACAAGGGACGTACAGGGAGATGATTGAGGCATGGAATAGAGAGGAGAGGACGGTAGCTGTACTGGGGAGTAGGAAGTGGTTTGAAAAGGCGGGAAAGGATATCGTTAGGATAGACAGACTAGGGAAGACATTTTTGAGCCACCTTTGGCAAAGTAGGAAGGAACGATTGGCCATCGGTGATCGATCCTGTGGGAACAATGCTCCGTCCTCTCGAGGACGCGTGGTCAATGGTCTAACCGCTAAGGCATGCAAAACACAAGAGTACCCCCCCCCCCCCCGGGTCGGCGAAAACGCGGCATATCCCGGCATTGTAGGGATGTGAGGTCAACGGCCTAACAACTACGGCATGCGTTTTACATGAGTACCGTTTCTGTCTTTGATCCGAAGGGTAGTTTAGCCTCCCCCATGCTGCCCCCTCACGGGGTCCCAGTTCATGGCAGATAGAAGTGTTTTGTGTTTTCAACGGCGCTAAGACTGACGTCTTTTCATTGGTCAGCCGGTTAGCGCGGTCGATGCTAATAATAAAAAAAAAACACACACACACCCCACCGCTTGATTTTGTGGCTTGCACTTGGGAATGGAAGCCGACTGGCCTTCTCACGGCCGTTTTGTGATATTTATGCATACGGCGTTTCACTTTTACGTTTCGCCTTCTCTTGGTGTCTTGATGTCGCGACGCTACTGGTGATGTCACGGCGCTCTTCTTGCATTGGTAGTCCCTTTCGCTGTTGTGCGCTTGACGTTGGCGTCTCGGGGTTGTTTTGCTCGTTTGCCGTCTGTTTGCATGTTTTTTCGTTCAACATTTCCCCAGATGCTTGACTGCTACGCCGGCAGCCTCTCCCCCTCCCTTTGGTTGACATCTCCTTGTCGTGGTCATGCTGTTGTTAATGTTGTAATTATTGTTTTTGATTATGACGGTATGGCTGCTATCGCGGGTGTGGTTACTGTCTTAGCCGCTGTTGCTGTAGTGTCGTTGTGTCGTTGGTGAGATGTTGCTATAGTTGATGGTTACATTACGGCCTTTTGTAACCCCCACCCACCCACCCGCGCCCGCGTCTTGCTGTGCCCCCTGTGTTGTATAGATGGTGGAGTCTGGCGATTGCCCGAAGGAAGAAGTCGACGCTCTCAGAAAAATGTACACGGTGAGTCTGTGGAAGCATTCATACACATGCGTCCCCATTATTGTGTCAGGGGCATCGTGTATGTAAAGAGATATATGAGCCATTGATGCACATCCCTCCCCCCTTGCATTCAGTGCGTCAAGGGGTGTCGTGTATGTAAAGAGATGAGCATCAGGGTAAGTTTTATTGGCGCTCGTATGTATGTACTCCTACCAAGCACGACTTGATTTGGTACCGTCGCACATACCCACGGCGTATCTCCCATCCACCGCCCCCCCTGATATTGCTGGCAGGGAATTGTTTCGTGGACGTCACCGAAGCCGTAGGCAACCTCCTCAAAAGAGAGATCATTTCCAGTCGAACCAATCCCTTGACTACAGATACCGTTCACGACTCGAGAAAACTCGTCCCCGGTGTAATAACATTTTGGGGTTGTTGTTTGTGTGGGGTGTTGGGTATTTTATGTCGCCCCATGTACTACCTAGGATGTAAGTTTTGGGCTCATGCTGACCCCCATGACAACATTTTCACCGAGCATGATATTTCTTGTGTTTGTGGGGGGTGTTATCTTGTGTCGATTGCGATACCCCATGTGAATCGTTTGTGCCCCATGTTCCCTTCCCATCCCCCGCGAGGACAACAAGATGCCGCACATACGAAATAGGCTACACCTATGAATGATTCTGCCCCACCGCCATCTTGTGCCGGGAATACGGTTTTTGTGCAGCATCGCCAGGCATTGCCGGTTGGGAGACTCTTCACATCTACGGAATGCCGTACATACCGTACCGTGAAAGAAAGTGATCGCAAGCCCCCATTGGCTGACTTTCAAAGCCCTGCAACCAACGAACAAGGGAGCGACATGGCGTGTGGTTTATTTACCCGGCTACAATATTGTTCTTAACTATTTTTTTTTTTAAGTATGTGTCTTGTCCGTTTTTTTTTTGTTTTTTAGGACGCCGGCCTGGACATCGACACCCTTGTCAACGACCCCAACATGGAAGCGAGCATGGATGCCGATGCCAAGGAAGTAGTCGTGCTTCTCAGGAAGCTGCTCGACCTGTGGCCCAAGAAATAACTAGAAAATAGAATAGCAAAAGTTGAGTAACTTGGGGGCAAAACTTTTTTTTTTTGCCTAAGAAATAGTACGAAGTAAAATACAATATTTGAATTCGAACAATCAGTTCGGCTTTTTTTTTTGTGCCCCAAGAGCTTCGCCGAAGAAGACAAGAAAAATCTGAATATTTAAAACGAAAATCGTAAAAAAACAAAGGACACCCGGGGGAATGAATGTCCGTAAGGAGGCTCACTGGTTTCTGTTAAGAAGGAAGACGAGAAAAAGAAACGGATTGTTGAGTTGATCGCTTGCTGCTCGATCTGCGGTCCAAAGATCAAGCCAAATCCAATCCAATACCACCACCGTTTCAGCGAAAGAAGAGATGCCTACAACATGAACTTGGTAATTCTGCCATGCATGGCGGCATCTGCTACGTCTCTGGTTCTCATAGGTACTGCTGTACGGCGGCAAAACATGTTTGGGTTGCATCCATCCCTAACACCTGTTGCTGAGCGATTTCCCGACATGATCAGCAAGCTTTCCAACCGAAGGTGTTGCAGGTACTCTGCATCTGAAACGAACGGGCTTGTCTTACGAGAAATAAATGTTCCATCGAGACCTCGCTAACCCCCGGGGTTGCCCCGCAATTGGGAAAAACGTGGCTCTACATATCTCCTCAGCAGCACAGCAGCACCGACTCTCCCCGAATAAGCTGTAGCCTAGATAATAGCCTCGGACACTTCACCCAAATACTCTGTGCACGTGCCTAGATGTCGAGATGCCTGTAAGGTCTATCACGTTGCCTGCCGCGCCGCCAGCATTTTCGGAGAGATTTCCGAGATGCGGCGTAACTACTGCAGAGAGGCTGCCGTCCCGTTGCGTACACGCAGCAAGCAGCAAGCAACGTGGTCGCCCTAGGGATGCCTACCATGCGATCATGGGCTGCACTCGGGTTGGTACCATTCGTTGGGTTCGGGGTACTACGGGGAGGTGAGTCAAGTTTCGCGCCTGCTGCCAGATTCGACGTCGTTACCGTCCTATCTGATCTACGTACAGCAGTGGTTGAGAGAAAGGACTGCGCTTAGCTTACTAGGCTCGCGGGGCCGTTTAGTCACAGGACACAGGACTGGTTCTTCGCGACAACTGCGGAGGAATGGGGCACCCAAGCTTGTTTGTTTTGTCCCGCTGTGGTATCCTGTATGGACAGAATAGAGGCACTCCGCAAGACGACGAGGCTGCGGAGGATCAGACCCTTGACTTGACTCTTCGCGACACACACACTTACACTATCGCTCTCAAACACCGCGACTGAATGACGATACATCGGCAAGATAGTCATCTCCACTGCAAGATCAAGCTACAGCAGTAATACAGGAGAGCACCTGGTGGATGCCTTTATTCCGGAGACCCTATGTGCAGGACGCCCCTGCAACGAACAAGTTGCAGGGCATCTTGAAACAATTTTGTCCGACATGCGCGCACAGACCCAACGCAGCCCTAAACCTAGCGCTAACCCAAATCTAGAGGGCCTCCGTCGCGCCGGCAGGCGTTCGCCCAAGAAAAACGCACGCGCCAACTCGGGCAGTACTATCGAAATAGCCAATCAGAGTACATAGCGTCCCGCAAAATTAACGTCTTGGCCATGATACCGCTTTTGTCCTTGTGACAAAACGGGTGGCCAACAGACCAGGTTGTAGGGGCACTATTGCCAACCTCCATCTTCAATTATTTTGGCACGAGTTGCAACCTCCCCACCTTGGGTAATCCTTGAAATGCAACGATGGCCAGGTTGTGCAAGGTATACCTTTCTTGGAGGGTGCGCGTTGTTTACAAGTCGGATAGGGGGCAGGTTGCCGATAGTAGTGCAAGGTGTACCCTTTCTTGGTGGTTGGTGCGCTGCTGACAAGCCGGATAGGGGTCAAGCTGTCGATGGCGGTGCAAGGAATACCATTTCTTGTGGTTGGTGCACTGCTTGCAAGCTGGACAGCGGGCAGGCTGCCGGTGGCAGCGCAAGGTGTACCCTCTCTGGGAGGTTGGCGCACCATGCACAAGTCGGTTAGGGGGGAGGTTGCCTATGGTATGACAAGGTGTACCCCTTCTTGCAGGTTGGCGCGCTTCGCACAAGCCGGTTGGGGGGCAGGTTGCCGGTAGTAGTAGTGCAAGGTGTACCCTTTCTTGCAGGTTGACGCGTTGCGCACAAGCCGGTAAGGGTGCAGGTTGCCGATAGTATTGCAATGGGTACCCTCTCTTGAGAGGTTGCGCACGATGCAGCCGGTCTACAACAAGCAGGAGTGCTCAACACTGTGTAGTGGCAGGTTTAATTCCCCTGCACTGTACGTTTTTTTTTTTTCATGTTTCATTTGTTTTTTCGCCCCCTGTATTCGAATCACTACAATTTTACCGTCGGTACATTCCCGAGCAAACCCCGGAAACAACGACATCCCGTGCCCGCGCATCATACGCATGTTGCCAGTAGCTCTGGCTTAAACCCATCTCCGCCGGCGGCTTATCATCTCGACCCAGGGTCGTCAACATCCCAAGTTGCACGAATACAAGCGAGAACCATAAAACGAAATTCAAATTGAAACAACACATGCATACCCTTTCGAACGTCGTTCTGTGTATTGAATGTCCCCCCACAACAACAGCATGCCCTCGCCCATGACCGTCAGCCGCGTCGATCATAGAGACGACCCACAACCCCCGCAACAAACTCCCTTCGTTTGTTGCGAGGAAACACAACTCAGCCGGAGACAACAGCTACACGTAGCGGCAGCAGTGTTGTCCAAACGCACAGGTAGAAACGACCGTCTCTCCCGACACGAAACACAGAACCCCCCCCCACCCGGGCCGCCCCAAATTCTATAACTAACTCTAGTCAAGAAAAAACGTCACTGCCTGAGACGGAGCCAACCTGCGACAGCGGTGTCCTCCCAAAACAATGTAGAGACTGCAGAAATAGACCTCTCTACTTTCCCAACACCATCGAAACAACTCCCCCCTCCCCTTCCCCCAAAAAGCCACATTTCGCAAGGACAAAAAACGGCACGGACGAAGCCAAGAGGCAGCAGCGACAGATTCCAAACGCCCTTGCAGACATAGCAAGAAAACACCTGGCTCTCATCCCGCGTCAGGCGCCCTCATGCACCAGCGAGAGCAACAAGCATATCATAGCACCATATGATTAAAAAAAAGCTGTGAGACATGGCGAGCCGGATATTTCTCCGTCTCCTACGTCAAAGCTTCTACCCGTTGTGAACGTCATGAGGACCCGAGAAAACGCTTTGAACGATGTTGCAGCGGAGGTCCCGGCGACTCGACCTGGAGGTTACCGATCAGCAGCGAACTAATATTGAGGTGTGAGAGGAGGGCAATAGTGGGCCGTCGAGGAATGGAGGGCATGCCCTCCCCCTTTCCTGCAGTAATAGTTCTTGGTATAGCTGACAGATGTACGTTGTCAACAATAATATTTGCAATCAGGCATGGGGGGGGGGACACAAACCGACAGCATAACCGCAGGTCGTAGAATACGTCAGAGACGACGATAAGCTACGCACCCCCGCAGAACTATTTTGAAGGGAGGCGAGGTACATTCAAACGTCAGGGGTCGCCAACGGACACGCTGGGATGAGGAAGGGTGTACATTATAGGGATTCGCGGACATAACGGATGCACGACAAGAAACACGTCAGCATCCAACATCATCGCAGGCAGAGAGAAAGAGGCAGAAAGAGAGGCACGATTTTTGGAAAGGACAAGACACATGACATACCTTGTCAACAAGGTTTAGGTGTCCGCCAGGGCTTTGTAGCCAGCGTAGTCATCAGGACTATCGCTTTTCTCGCTCGGAGACGAAGAACATCCCCGTCTCCATCTTTAGTTCACCCTCCACCCCCATCCGCTCCTCGGTCACCTCCTCCACCTCCTGCCCCCCGTCCGCGAACAAGCACGGCTTGAGGTAGCGCTTAGCGTCGTCCTGACGATCAATACTCTCGGTGGAGAGGATCGGCCCAACGTATTCCAAGCCGAACCACATGAAGCTCTCCTAGAACCTGAGACGCGACACAAAGAACAAGAGCGTTCCATCTGAATGTCAGTTTGTTTGACGTCACGGGTTCATACATAAATAGCTTGCGACAAACCACCAGCACGTCGACTGCCTAGGAGCAACGCCAGGGCACACTGAAAATGTGGGGAAATCATTTAAAAGGCTGGAAACGCGTCAGGAACAAAACGAACGAGAGTATTGGACGTTCAGCAGAGCTTGCACGTCAAATGAGCGCTTTATCGGCCTGACAAATTGCCGACAGCACACCAGGGGAGACAGGGTTAGAAGAATACGCCAAATACAACAAAAAAACCCTCAGCCCCATAGAGCTTAGTTCACATATCGAAACAAAAGCAGCGTACATGTCGTTCATGACGTCCAAATGTTTTCACCGCCGCCGCCCTTCGCAGCAAACGTCTTTCCGAAAAAAGCCTCGCACACGGGGAAGGTAAGGCAATACCGTCGTGGTCGGGGTCGCTCTTGTTGCCGAAGTGTAGCCTGTACTGCCCATCTTCGTCTTGATATCCGTGAGGACGTACTGCTCGAGCATCTTCGAACGATGCCAATCCTTACCGTGAGGGGGGGGGGGAGTGGTGCTTGGCGGGCAAGGGGTTGGATGGATGGATGCACCAGAGCAAGGGTGACAGTAGATGGCCTGGAATTTGCGCCTGAAACAGCAAGCATTAGGGCTAACAGGACATCAGCAGCAGCTATCCTCGCTGTAAAAAAGTACATGGGGATTAAAAAATTTAAGCGTCATTACCACAGGGAAGCGGCGTTAGCATTTCAAGGACAATAACTCTTCGTCCCCGGCGCTGTTGCTCGGCATCATGAGAGTTGGCTAATTGCACAGTATCGGTTTACCTTGCGCCGCCCTTCTGTCTTGCACTATAGGCTAACGCTACAACATGCGAGACCCTCAAACCAACAGCAGTACCGGTGCGCGCGCGTCAAAATTATCTACTCCTTCCAC